TGTTGATTCGGGCAGGGCCACGTGTTACTTATAAATTGGGACACTCTCGTAGCGACAAGACACACGACTCCTCGGACGAGGAATTGCAAGAAGGATTTGTATTATTTCTTTTACCGCGTCATTTCGCACAAACCGAGAAAAATCACAAAGGTTACAAAGGCTCCAGGAAAACAACCATCGATAAAGCTACAACGAACGCGCAACGTTATTCGTCCTAGGACATATATTCAAGAAATGGAATAGAATTCCTTGAAAATGTTGAACAATGAAATATGTATGAGAACGCAGGAAGGCTTCTGCTAAGAAAGCCAAAGGCGTTCAGCCCCTACGCATATTAAAGTCACGGGTCCGCGAGTCACGATACTAAAAGGGGTTAAAACGTGACTGGATGATTGTAAAGGAAAAAAACAAAAAGGATCATTTTTATCGGAGGATAAAATTGATTTTCGAAGCTAACCCAACACCCCCAACCGAATGCCACCCCCCGGCGACGCTTGCCGCCCACCCTTATTTCAGAAGAAAAGATCCGCGCCGTTCGCCCCAAACAAAAATCATTATCACGTAATGGTCACGCCTCCGACAATGCGATTCATCCCTTGGCACGGGGTGCAGGCACGCAAAAAATAATCAATTTTCCTTCTGGCCGAAGTGGCCCCAAACCCCGTTCATTTATCACTGATACTGTCAGTCGCCACTCTTCTCGGACGAAGGATCGCGGTACACGGTACGTACATCCGGATCCGCAGTGCATGATCCCGCCGAGCAGGGGATGAATTTCGTCAATACGTTAAATTGCGAGGGACGTTACGTAACCCCGGTAAAACTACAGGAAAGCACGTGGGTAAAGTGTCTGGCCTGAAGGATATAGCGTTACGTTGAAAATGTCGAGAAAGGATTATCCTTAAATCCCATACCGGTGAGAAGGGATGAAGCTAACGTACCCATGTTGCTTTATCCAGCACGTATACGCACGGGTAATGTAATTCCCGAGAAAGTACATGAAAATTTTATGGATCGCGTTTACCAGGCGCTTACACGTGAGATGCAGCTGTGAAATCACTCACGAAAATACGTTAACCCCTAAAGCCATAGGAAAAATCAGAGAACCGAAGAACGGGGAATTAAGAGGAATTATTTTTCACGTGTACCAAGACGAACGAATCTATTCGAAATTGGTTGCTACAGGCTGGTGACGATGTTAAGGTGGATTAAGGCGAGAGAAAAAAAAGATAAAGGAAAATAGGATGGGAAGGTGGGAAAACAAAAAAGGTAGTGTTAAGCCACCAATGGATCAACGGCTCCTTCCCAGCCGAGTTCATCCCTTGGTCTGTAGGTATTTGGCTTTATCGAAGGACTTTTCGTGCTCAAAATTCAGTGGGGCCGGGTGGGTCAGAGGTTGGGGAAATGAAGAGGCTCGAGTATTGGCTCCTGCCAGGAGCAGCGAAACAATTGCGATGCGAACACAGGGCGTCGTTTCCTTTCTGAAAAGAAAAATGATCGAGTGGGATGTAGGATTTTTCGCAGTTTACTTATTTCCAGAAAAAATAATAGCCACGAGATAAGAAACTAACAAAGACGCTGTATAAAACGTGTGCGAGAGAGAAGAGGAAAAAGAGTATACAAACTGTGTGTGATTACGTTGTGTACGAAATCACATAAATTTTCAATGGTAAATATTTTCTTATTCAACTTTTTCTTTGTTTCTATAATACATATAACTTATTGTGTACATACCTGAAAATCGTGTCTTCGCGTACCTACAGTATTCTGGTACATGAGGGAACGTGTACCTGACGTAAGACTCCGGCAAGTCTCTTGATTTCCGACATTGCACAGCCACGATTTATGGGACACACAGTGCACTGTCGACACCCTTGTGAATTTCTCACTGCATACAGAACCTCGCGGTTTGGCTGACTGGCTGGTTGACTGGCTGGCTGACTAGGCACACGTGACAAATCTCAATATGCATACAAAAGCCACCCTACTGTTTATTACACTGTATCGAAAAAAAAAGTATCGAACAGAAAACGTAGTAAAGCCTCCCCAAAAAAATGTAATCAAAATAAATTTCCAAGGGTAGTAAAACGATAACGAACAATTGTCAGAGTAAATTGTAACTGAAGTAAGATAAGGCTGGTAAATTTTCGTAGGCGAGAAATAAAAAAAAGTACAGTCTGGAATTTAAATTGAAAGTCCTGGGCGAAGGGTGAACGAGAAATTAGGTAAATTGGCGAGCAATTGGGATTTTCGCGCCAGTGGAATATTAATTATGGCGGAGAGAAATTTAATAATGTCCGGCGATATTGTTTTTCGTGGACACTCCAATTCAGCCCCAATGGAAGGAAGTGATACCCCTCTCGCCCACCCCCATACCCACCTCCCTACCCTCTCGATCGACATACCCTAATTAAATTGTCGGAGTTTTCAATTCAGTTAGAAGTTTCGAAATTACCGTTAGCTTGAATATCGCTCGTCATTCTCATCGAATTTCTACAAGGCCGCATTAAATTCTTCTACAAATCCGGACCAGCGACTGTCCCGTCATAAAGGCGCACATCAAATTCAAATCACACTCGACATATTGCATACAAAATAGCTCCTGTATACTAAATAGCTAGTAATCATTAATTCGTCTCTCCATACGTCAACCCTTGTGCGCGTGTATCAGTTCGTATACACCGCTGTCGGTAATCGATTTTCTACCTATGCTGATTACCGACGGAGCATAGTAGAATTTACTGTAGGTATCGTTACAGATAATTTGCCTGCGTCGCAGGAATATGCAAACGGCCGTCAAAAAAGAAACTCGTGCGGACCGCATGAAATATTTATGTCGACGGTACCAAGAGGGAAATTTGCAAACGAAAGAAACCGCCACCCCTGGTCGCGAATTCCTTCGGCAGTAAAGAAAAAAGTAAAAAGCGGAGTGGGCGGGGTGGGGTGGTATAGGAGAGTTTTCATCGAAACACGAGGGTGAAAAGAAAAACGGAATATAAAGTACAAAATTCAAGATGACAATTTGACTCGACTGACAAGGAGCTGGTGACAATATCGAAGAGATTCGAAAGAAAGGGAAACTACCCTTTCGGTCATTCGCCTCCCTGCGGTCGTGAAAGAATGTATTCGAAACTTCAATTCACGGACTAATGTTGATATATATATATACCTATATGCATAGTGACTCGAGAGAATAAAAAAGAACGAGAAAAAATTGACGAATGGAGAAATATTGAGAATTTCGTCTATGCGTAGAATTCAATATTTCTTTAACAGCAGACAGAGATGAAAAAAAAAAAGTGAAATTATACTGATTCCAGGCAAAAAAATTCCTCATACCAAATCCCGGACAATTCAGTTAAATTCCACTGAATTTCGCACACTCTGGTTCTTTTCATCCGAACAGGCTGCCGAATCGCCTTATGGTATCCCTTTTCTTCTTCAAAATACCAGCACTTTTTGAATGTCCCCAAACCGTCAAAAAATAATATCACTACGGCAGACAATCAAGTATTCCTCACCAGACGCGATACAACATACCTATGATGCACCACCCAACTCGTGTAACTCGATATTAGGTACAAGAGCGAAGAAAATTGCAAGTTCATTAAGTTCATGAATAAATCCTGCCTACTCTATTGTAAACACGAGAAATAAAGATGAAACAGTAAACCGTAACGAGAGACGAAGATGGGCCGTGTATACGAAATTTGGTACTTAATAAACCATATAACCTACCCCAAGGAAACGAGGCTGTGTATCTGCAGGATCCCAAGGCCACTGAATACAGCACGCATAACGAGCCTCGTAATACTTTCGTAAAATCCTCGACCGAGACGGGATAATAGCTGAAAGCTTGTACCACGCGTAATCCGTCCATTAAACGTTAACTGCGATTACTCACCTACGTAACCTCCATCTGTTGGGAAGTTTAAGAAGAAAAAAAGATAAGGGCACGTCATCGCGACGCCCTTTGTTCATTGGTATCAAGATCGCGACGGGTGCACGTGCAGTCGACGCGACTGTCTATCGCAAATGGCGGCATTTTCAACGGAAATTGAGAAAAACTTTTAAATTTCTGTCCGAGACAGCTGTTTCCTATGTCGACCTTCGCCGGGGAACCCGCGGAATCAACCAGCAGGAAACGAATGGACGTTCGAGCAAGTCGGGAGCGAGGAGCATTTCGCAAATGACGAAGGATGCAGGGAGCTCCTGTCTAGAACCTGGAAAAGATTTATTATTAAGGACTGTCCAGACGGTAGCGGAATGATGGAAAGGGTATATCTGGGCTTCACTCCACAGGGGAATACCCTTTCATAATTGACAACCAGAATGGTGGATTGAGGGAAATGGGACTGAATCATTGATAGGAGACAGATTTGGGTTCGTCTCAACGAGAAACTTAATTATTAGATAGGAATGTTTCCCCCGAGTCCATAAATTGATACCCTAGATCTCACCCGCATTTATCGCTGATTCTTATCGGGTCTTTTTCCTTTCTCGAATATTTTAGCATAAAATTAGACTTCGGCGTTCCCACCAAAAAATTATCCAATCTCTGACGGACTCTATCAAAATATTAATTTAGCGTGAAATATATTGCGTGCCGCAGATATATGCCAACCACGAAATAACCATAACGCTAATTCGCTGAAATTGGTCATAAAATTTCCTTCAACAATGCAAATTGGGTACGAGATGCGCGACTGCCCGACGAATCAGGAATAGATATTACACGAGGTCACTGCAATTCATAACGGTGGTACAATCAAAAGTTAACTGAATTACACAAATTTAAAATATAATGCGAACCTGTATACGAATGAACATACGCGTATGCTTATTAGAAAAAAAAAAATTAAAAAAAAGGGAAAAAATTAAAACACTCCCTGAAAGACAAATTCAAGTACACATATGACATAACGATTTTATCTATTATATTTCTTATGTTTATTTTTTTTAATTTTTTTATCACCTCAATATCTCTTAGGGTTTTTATAATAATAATAATAATAATAATAATAATAATAATAATAATAATGATAATAATGAATGATTAATCAATCATTATTTAGAATTATTGTACATCGATATATTATTCAATATACTCCATTTCATATATTCTATATTAATATAGACTTCTATTTGTTTCAATTAATTTCTTAAAACTTCTTCGTTTATCACCTGCCGAGGAAAAAGTGTGGCAACGTGCGAGAAACACTTATTTAATCGGACAAAACTTCGAGAGCTTCGATTTTCGTAAATAATTCAGTATTTCCTTTCCCTTTTTGTCTATCTCTTTCTCATCGACACTTTCACTCGTTAATTCCGCTGCCCTCGATGAAACGCCGTGACCAGGTACGCTCGACGATACCTAATCTTAACCTAAGAATAGTCGAGATCCCACGTTTGTTATATAAATATTCCCAATCTCGTATTTAGCTGCCCGCCAGAAAATCGAACGTCTCGGTTATCGTTGTCGGCATGAGAAAACGTCTTCTCACTCTTATCAGCCCTATTCCCTTTTCCGATTAACCGTGTCCCGGTTGTCGTGCCAAACACGACGCATCGTCGTGGGGCATTTCAAAATTGACTTGTACGTTGTCCATGGCTGTGAATATTGGGCGAGCCACCTTATCAACGTGTTTCCTTCTTATTTTGTTCATTTATCAATAAAAATTACAAAGTTAAGATCACATCTGCGTGATTGAAGAAACGACAGTGTGCTAAGGGACTAGAGGCTAAAATGCGGAATTCGTAGAAACGGAGAGTGAAACAAGCGGACACGAGTAAACAAACGGATTCGTCATTACATTTTTTGTACTTTTTTGATTAGGGTTAATCATTTCTTTTTAATCCTTTTTTTTTATATCTTTCTCTCTATCTTTCCTTGCTTCCTATATTGTCTTTTTCTTCTTCGTTTCGACCCGAGCGATTACGAATACCGTTCGTCCTTTCCAATTCATCAGTTCGCAGCGCAGAAGAGACAATTATATTTGCTCAGACTAACAACAAGAAGAAAATATTGTGGTCCATTTCTTTTTTCTTGACCTTTCGCCTACAGTAAAGTACAGATCCTTATGTCGTTCGTGCTTCTTGAGTAACTAAGAAACATTCCTTTGGTGTCGTAGATTGATGAAAATCGTAGAGATAAGTGATGACTTTTTTTTCTCCATGAACCTGTGTTATTAAATAAAGCTACGTTCACAGATCCCCGCAATTCACAAAAACCTTATAGGAAAATTTGCCATCCTCTCTTCGCTGGTAATTCACAGACTAATTATTCCTTTTTCATCCTTGACATCGCTCTTCACCGTTTTCTCTATCTCTATCTCTTTCATTCTCTGTCTCTCTCACTCACTCAATACTCCCGCAGCCCCCAGACGTCCATATAATGATCGAGTTACTTTTCGCTTGTATGAAAAAAATGGAACGAACTGGAACTCCGTACTTTACCAAGTGACCCGAGCACAATTGACCTCTACCGCCCTAAATAAAGCAGACGTTCCTTCAGAATGGGCAATGAGAATCCCCTATATTATTTCTCTTTAATTCGACTACGACGTAATTGGAAAGAAAATATATTTTTTTTTTAATCAGATTCATATATATATCTTTTATCTTCCCTCGTTTTTCTTTAACCATCTAATATTTTACAGCGAGACATAGGCGAGTCGTTACTTTATCGCGCTCTATGTAAAAAGTACGAATTACTACAATGACCATAGGTGGTAACGTGTGTTGTATCAGCAACTCATTACTCTATGGTAATTTGGTATGGAGCACTTTAACATGGTTAAACCATGGAATTTATCACCGAGAATAATTTTTTTTTTGTTCAAGCGATGGGATCCATTGGCGGACATTCGCGTGGATTGTATTTTCCCCTCCAGTTGCCTCCAAGCACCCCTCGCCATTCACTTTCCCACATAACACAATATATATATGGATACAGTTAGTAACGTGGATTTTGGGATAAATGACATCAATGTGCAGGGTTCGTATAGTGATGTCCTATTTTTGTTGTTTTTCCTTTTTTTTTTTTCATTTGGGACGGTAGGCACCACGCGATACTGATATTGCTATTTGCTTGTCTCTTTAATAATAATAACAAAAGAAAACGTCTAGAATTCGACGAGATACCTCGTAACGAATAAAAAGGAAAGTTATGTTTTTCACCATCGATCGAATGTCGTTTGCATATAAGCCCGATAGATGCCGATAATCGGCAAATAAGAAGAACAGACAAAAAAATACTTGGACTAAACTAAGTAAAGCAAAATAGGAAACCTTTCGCGAACGTTCGACACACGCCAATTCGAATAATAAGTTAATAAATTAATGTAATATTAATTCGTAATTATTCGATACAACTAATAATGCGAATCAATAGGGATTCGAGTATCGAATGACACGGTAATCGTGAGTAACGTTTCAAAAGTTTAAAAGTCCGTGCTCGCGGCGTGCGGCGTGCGCAGATATTTTTTTGCTTTCGTTCTCTTTCATTTTTTAATTTCCTGTCGCTCGAGTCGTGAGTTTCCATAGAACTACTGACTGTTTTGCATCCAACGCTAACGCGCTTACGGCAGCTGCGGATCGCAGATCCTGCGTTATCACATCTTTTCTAAACCCATCTTGCGCTGAAGAAACAGATGCAAATAGAGATGTTTTTACCGATGTTAAACCCATTCCGACGCTTCGTTTAACTCGGGGGCAACGGCTGCTCTACGTTACTCGTCCTCAGTGTCGCCATCACTGCTATAATCTTGAAGAGTTGCTGGTCTTGAGAATGGTGCATTATTTGTCTGTCTGCAATAAACAGCACAGCATGCTGAGTATAAGTCTTTAGGACTGAGTGTTATTCGTTATCAAAAAAGTCGACTGGCTCATCGACTTCGGATAACATGAAAGTTTAATGAATTTGGAACAGTTTGCTGCTTACTTACGCGAGGCGTCTATAGTGATTGAGCCATTCCTCTATCATTTGCGCCACTAGAAGAGGTCTCTTGTGTAGTTTTTGTTGCGCGACGAGGATACCGCCCTCGGTAGTGCACACGTCGAGCCATTGCTTTAGGATGACTTCTTCGCGGCCCACTTCTTCAGGACTTAAAAAATGTATTGGTAGTAGTTTGCGATCACGGTCCATTAAAGGCATGAAGGTAGTTTGCATCTGCATTTGCATCTGTTGCATGGGACTACCGCCTCCGCCAACACCGACGCCTCCATGTGTCGCCAGAGGCGGAATCCTGGACGATGCGTATGGCTCGATAGGCACCAGAGCGGTGAAATGACCACGCGTGTATCCCAAAGCAATTGGCGAGCGAATACAGAATGACAGTTCCCATAATAACGGTAAATAAACTCCCTCGAACCTCGCATATCCTGTGAATGGTTAACTTCAGTACGTGGAATTCACAATATAATCGTAAATTGATTGAAATAGGCTTACCTATATCCTCGCCCCGGAAGCTCTTTACATATTTTACCCCGTAGACGATTATTGGCCTCCTTAGAATGTGAGCTAACGCAAAAACATGTAACTGTTCAAGAGCACTTCCTGGCTGCGCTGCAGTGGCCAATAGACTCTCCCAATCCTCTTGCCACTGAGTCTCCTCTAAAGTGAAGTCTAGCATCCTCGAAGCTTGGGACGCCTCATACTCCCGCCAGCGTTGATAAAAGCTATACAAATGTAATACAAACTTGTATAATCTTCTTATTCAATAATTTACTATTAATTGCTTGTTTCTGTATTACTCACAACTGGCCTGCTTGTTGTAATGAATCTGCAAGAGCTCTGCGTAATGCATTATCTCTATCGAAGACACCCCACGTGGCTTGCATCGCAGAATCCAGAAGACAATCCCCAGCAGATCGATTCCAGAGAGCATGTAGACGACTACCTAATCGTTCTGTTACTTCCAAAGACCAATTCAACGCTGGAGGTTCACCACCTCCACCTTCCAGCTGCTGTTGAGCCTCTTTGTCCAGAAGTTCCTCCAGCATTTGCTCCTGTACGATGCTTGGAAGATCTTCCACCTGCGAATGACGTACTCCATCAGCATTAATGTGAATTATTATGAATGCAAGGTAAAATTAATAATAATAACCTCAGCTGGTAGAGCAAAGGTCGCCATGTCCGTAACGAAGTAACAAGGTAGGGAACCTTTGCGCAAACGGATACTATTTGTGACGTGTCTACGTATCTGTGCCGCCAAGTCGGGAGCCACATAGCTTGGAACTCTTTTCACCCCTGAGCCAGAACCCTCAATTTGCGACAAGAGCGTCGCTAAAATGTCTTCACGCTGAAACCTGCAAAGGCATTCAGACCTTAGACCTTAAGGTCAACGTACAACGAGGAGAAGTTTCGTATTTATTTGACCTTTCCAGGTCAGTGACATTCTAACCAAAGGGGCAGGTACACACTGAAAGCCATTCTGGAGAGTTTCCAAAATAGTCTACTCAAAAGAAAAAAGATGCATTGACAGTAAATCTCTAATATACAAAATGTCTGCATGGTTAATAATCATTGTAAGGTATGCAAATCTGAGTACACGTGGAGTAAAGAGTTGGCGGGGTCTGTACCTGATCGCCAAATGAACTAGGGTATGCCCCACGTCAAAAGCGCTGCTTCTATTTAGTAGTAGAATCTCGGAATGCGTCAACTGACGAGCTGGATCTCCGCCACTTGCCAAATACGCCTCGACAGGCGCATTATCGCCTTCAACAATGCCAAGACATGCGTTTAACCAGCACCAGTCGGTGTGGCGTCTTAGCTGTTTCAGCCTACGCTCGTAGTCACAGTTATTGGGAGATTGCGGAGCAGGCAAACTGTCATTTCGACTGTCGAACCTATGAGAACTCCTAAAACAACACAGTATTAAATTAGAATACGAGATAACTTATGGATACCATTGAAGGCTAGGACAAGATCAAGGTCGCACCTTCTGGCTATCGCCAAGTTCTCATCTCGTTGCGCTTGATGAATATAGGGTGTATGAGGCGGTGATGGCAAGCCACGTTGGCTGTGATCCCTTTCGGGACTCGGTAAGATGAGACCTATATTCGTAGTGGATTTCTCCCTCCTGTCTTTTTCCTTCTGATGTCCACACATAATACATTTTGTAGCCTTCGGCCAATTCTCATAAGTACACATAAGGCAGGACCACTTGTCTGGATGTACATTCTGTTGCGCGTTCAAATACCGTTCTGGATGTAGATTGATCGGTGACGGATTTAACTGGGAATTTGATCCTGAATTAGGCGGAGGATCACCCAATCGGAGGGGAGCTAGCTGCTCGTGTAAATTGGAAGCTATGGAGTGTATCGACTGAACGTTATTTGTCGTTTTTCGGTTATCACACTGTCCGCAACGTGTTGTGTTCTGGTAATTAAGATACGTGCACATTTCACAGGACCATTTTCCACCTGATGGTAAATTCTGACTGTAATTCTGGGGGCAGAGATTGTACGAGTCGGTTGAGTGACTTATGTTTGGTGCTGGTCCGGATGCCACATTAGAGCCTGACCTCTGCGGACTAGGATCCCGCAAACGGTATATGTCTTCACCTAGTAAAGGCTTTGCACCTCGACACATTGTACATTTCAGGGACGACGGAAAATTTTCGTACGTGCAATATTCACAGGTCCATTTTGCCTCTGTCTCTTCACACCGGCTACTCATTTTCACCAACTCGCCCTCTAGAAAAGAGCGGTATTGCTTCTGCTACTCGCTATGTGTAGTAGTTTTTATCAGGATTAACTATCTTTTGAACGCTTGGAAAATGTTACTTTCCAACGCGTTAAGTGATCTCTTGTATTTTCAATCGTGGGTGATGTTTGTTTGTCATATGCTGAGTTATCAGTGCCAAAGTCTGTTCAGCGTGGTATGAATTTCAGTCCTATGCCTGTTTTTTTATGGGGTTTGTGTCATGTGCCAGGCATTTTAATGAAGATCGATATACTAGAAGCTGCTTCAGAGGTATTGATGTAAGCAATTGTCAATGTCTGAAACAAAATAAAAGATTTATTGATATGTCAATTCGTCTTCATATTAATGAATAAAGTTAACTATTTGAAGAACCATAGATTATTACTGTGTTACGTAGAAAAAAGCGTTATGTCAAAATATGCTGAGTATGCATTCAAATGACTTTATAGCAGTAAAATCAAGGGCACTGACTTTATTCATTTGCCAAGGCTGCAATAAGGATGCAAATGAAATGACACATACTCATGCAATTTTAAATAATTTCTTTTGTTTCATTAATTAATCTGCACTTCATGTACCAGTATAGAAAGCCATGTAGATGAAATCTATCCAGCACAATCATAACAAGACTTAATGGTATAACGATTTTCTTGAACTTTCACAAAATGCAATACTGTATGCACAACTAATTACGAAGAGAAATTTGTCTAGCACATCTTATACAACTACCAAAGACTAAAGTTAGAAAGAATAATACAAAAACTGTCAACATAATATAAATTATATCTTCGTACATATGATTTCTGCATGAAACCGATCTCAAAAACATTAATATTCATAAGAAAGTACCCAAAGTACAAAAGCAGAAAAGAAAGACGATATGTATTGATTTGTAGTAATTATATATCAATCGATGGTCCAGGACCTAAGTTATATGAAGTCTTTCAATGCGTAAGCATTACACGTAAACATGCAACACAGAAGATCATTTCAGTGAAACGTGCCAAACAGAAGAATAAAGTTGTATCAATAAACTAAGAAAAGAGCTGACCTTGAGTGTATTCACCCTGATAAGGTAGAATGTGATGTGAAAATAAGGTAGTGATAGATGGAGTTCGGCGAGCGTGTCCAATACGTCGAGGAAGATGGGCTACCTGGCAAAAGACGAGGCCGGTGTCCCAAAAGCTGCTGTCACGCGCAGGCAAGCTCCATTGAAGCGCGAATCTCTGAGTTGGGATTCGTGAAATCGGGTAGAGAAAGAGAGACAGGAGCGAGGACGTTGCACCACTATGGCCAGCACCCCACTGCAATAATGTCATGAACAACGAAAGCTTTTATGAGTCTGAATCAATTGATCCGCGGAAAGACTGCGCCTTGTTCACGCGCCGAAGTTAACGGGCCTTCCTCTTTCTCCTTGTAGTCAGGAAAGACAGGCCCACCGATGACGAGCAACGCGAGCGCAATTTCGTCTATCGAGGACAATAACATCGGTACACACTCACTTCTCCTCACTGCTTAGAAAAGAGAAACACACTCTTCCTCTCTTCTGGCTCTCTGCGTCTCTCCTCACGCAGTTCTACGAGCTCGCCGTCATGGTATTTCCTTCGCTCATATCAAAAGCTGCAGACTCGTTGAGAAAGTAGGTTTTGACAGTCATCCGCAAACAGACCACGGTACTGCCAACCTCTGCCACGGGGAAACCCACTACCGTTACTCGTTCGACCTTACAAAATGGATAATGCAACTGCCTCGAGGACGACCGCTTGACTTTTACCGAATGAAAACTTCTTACGAGACAGCAAGAATTTTTTACGTGATACGCGACACTCAGGATGAGTTTTAATAAAACGACGTAGACACTTTTTCACTGGTGTATGGTCAACCTGTATACTCGGGTATCCGGTTCCTCCTTTTGAGTCCCGTAAACGCGATCTTCCCACATTCGCCCTTGACACTTGCGCTTTGAGTCGCCAAAAGTGGGATTTGGGTTGTGTCCACATAGACAGAATGGAGATGGTAGTTCGCGTTGGAATGCACGGCGTAATCTGCACTAGATGAGCCGGACGAGCTTGCTAGTCATGAAACGTGCAAGAGTGGACCGCGCGACGCGCACGGAAAAGCTTTTTTTATTTATAAATACATTGGGCCTCGGGCCAAACCGAGCTCAGCCTAGACACCTATCCTTGACATTTGACCAAAGCTTAAATGTTCGTGATTTTTTTTTTAAGGATTTCGTGGGGAAAGCAGAAGTACTAGAAGGAAAGTGGATCGGATGGGAGAAGTGAAAATTTAGTTTTTTTTTCTCACACTGACGGACGTGTTGTCTGCTGTGTGGCCGCTGACGTCACGGAGAATCAGCTGGAAATCATGCACGAGCTACTCACTTGGCCCAGACAGAGATTTTAAAATTCTGAATTTTCCAAGGGACACAATGACGACGAGTCTTACTGTGCTTTACGGCAGCGAGACAGGAACTGCCCAGGACACCGCCGAGCAAATTTGGCGCGATGCCAAAAGGTTTCATTATTGTTCTTTGTTGTGTCATAACTTTTTTCACTGTTAATTACAATAGTTCAATTTTTATAATACGTATTTCTGTAAGCTCACTTACCTTTCTCTTGCTACAGCAATAATATTTTTCTTAGTTCACTTGATTTCTGTATATCAATATTATATTATGAACATTTGATCTTGCAGGATGAAATTAAAGTGCTCCGTAGCAGCCATGGATGAATATAACATTGAAAAACTAATTTCTGAAAAACTTGTGGTGTTTGTGATTGCCACCACTGGTCAGGGCGAACCTCCATTAAATATGAGACGAACTTGGCGTTTTCTGCTCCGAAAAAACTTACCGAGCACTTCTCTCATCAATGTTCAATATGCCGTACTAGGGCTGGGTGATAGTTCCTATCAAAAGTACAATTATGCGGCTAAGAAGCTTAGAAAAAGATTGGCACAGCTTGGAGCAAGAGAGTTGATTCCAATTGGATTAGCCGATGATCAACATGACTTAGGGATCGATGGTACTGTTGGTCCATGGGTTGAAGAATTATGGACTAAAGTATCAGAAATCTTTAATATCTCCAAAGAAATTTACATAAATCGAGATCAGGAGGTAATTCAACGATTTGATGTTACTGTCATAAATTCAACAATTATAAATGGCACAAATAATCAATACAGAGATATTTACAAACATGAAATGTCTCTTAATGAATCATTAAAAATCGGAACAGTACTTGAGAACAATAGAACGACTTCAGATGACCATTTTCAGGATGTAAGATTAATTAAACTTCAAGCAGAAGGCTTGGATTATACACCTGGTGATGTATTATATGTAAGACCTAAAAATTCTCCAGAACAAGTACAAAAATTCTTCACTGTGTTAAATGATCATGGAGTAAATGCATATCCTAATATGGTAATAAGAGTAACTGGAAAAGAAATAAAGGTACCAAGTGTACTCACACGTGACCTAACTTTACAAGAAGTAGCTGAACAATACTGGGATTTGAGTTTTAAACCACGAAGATCAACTATGCAAACTTTAGCATTTATTAGTGATGATGAACTAGAAAAAGAAAAACTTATTGAATTTACTACACCAACTGGCCAAGAAGAACTTTTCAATTACGTCACTAGACCCAGAAGAAATATTATCGAAGTGCTTCACGATTTTCCACATACTACAAGGAAATTGAACATTAAATTACTCTTTGAAATAATGTCGCCCATTAAGCCACGAGCTTTCAGTATCGCCTCAAGTTTGAATAAGACAAAGAATGAAATTCACATTTTAGTTGCAGTTGTTAAATACAAAACAAAACTTCTAGAACCAAGGCTGGGATTGTGTTCTAATTGGTTAGCAGACCTAAAATTGCGTGAAGAAGTTATTTTTTGGATTCAAAAAGGAACTTTCAAGTTTGATTATAACAAACCTATGATCCTTATAGGACCTGGAACAGGAGTAGCACCATTTAGATCATTACTACTTGAAAAAGCATCTACGAACAAAGATTTGAGTGATTGTATTCTTTTCTTTGGATGCCGAAGTAAATTGAAAGATTATCACTGCAAAGAAGATTTTGAAACTTTATCGCAAACGAATGGTCTGAGATTATTCTGTGCTTTCTCCAGAGATCAAGAACAGAAAATGTGAGTGACCTTCATACGTTTAAACTTCGTACATCTAATTCTTTTACTATTTTTTTTTCAAATTTTCAGATATGTACAGCATGTTATACGGGACCAAAGCGAATTGTGTTGGAAATTTCTAAAAAGTAGTGCCAATATTTACTTGGCAGGTAGTTCCAAAAATATGCCTGATAGTGTACAAGAGGAATTTGTCAATTTGGCCAAGAAATTCGGTGACATGACAGAAGAAGAAGGAAAAAACTTTGTTACACAGTTGGAGTTGAGTGGTCGTTACCAAACGGAAACATGGGCGTGAAAGAAATAACGATGTACATATTTAAAACACACACGTATCAAACTTGTACAAATATTTATTAAATATATTTGTAGAACGTATAATCCAATGTGTATACGATAAAAATAGATATCGTTGAAATGACGATAGTACGATTATTGTTCTCTGTATATGGTTATTCAGAACTATTGCGTCAACTGAAGATAGTTCTAAAATGAGAAATCATATTAACAGAATCATCTTCAGATGGTACAAGAGTCCTCAATAAAACTTAATTCTTTCGTACCTATTATTTGACGCGTTCATATTAAATTTTAAATTTGAACACTTGGCTCATTTGGTTAAATTCAACCAACTTCGTGCATAATCGGTAAATTTCGTGAAGCATGGAGTTACCACGAAGAATTTAACATAACCTAGAATAACGACGGGGAACATGATGGCGTGTCTTACGATCAGTGGTGGAGTAACATTCGCGACCGTGCAGCTTTAAGAAACATTAGCTCCTGGTAGTCACGTTCCTCCTTTCATTCGAATAATTAGTTATTTATTACAATAGGCGTAAGACAGTACAAATTGCTACAGATGATGAGTTTTTATTGAAATAGCCGAATATCAAAAATTGATCCGCCCATCGCCCAAAAAGTATTTTACGCGCTTGCAACGTACTAGCTTTTTTAAACTCGATTCTTACTTAAAATGCAGTGATTCAATTGACGATTTCTAATATCGTTTATTCAAAAAATCATTCCAAAAATGGCTGGAAGTTATACGAAGAAAGAATTCGGCGTGGGTCCGGAAGAGCAAACCCTTCTGAAGGATTCAAATGGGTCACGGATTGTTGCAAAAGGTACAAATTTTATTATATATTTTTCAATATATTTTAAATATATTTTATTTATCACAAAGAAATGACCATGTTCTTTTTTTGTAAGTTATTTAAAATGGTTTTACCATGTGCTCCTTCTCCTGCATTTCTGCTGGCACAGTGCCCAAGTCTGTTCTAGATATCACATAACGTTCGCATTTGTGCTTATGCGTTGGTGTCTATTACCATGTCTTTGCATTCTCTAGTTATCTAATCTGAGACTAATAAAACATATGCTTACATTACAGTTAGCTTTATTGACCTTCAAAAACAAAAAGGTGTAACATCTTGCACCGATAATGTCCCTGCTTTTATTTTTATATTGCATTGGGTTCTTGGGTTTCAATTAACCAGAATGTATTCTGCGTAATTTTTTTGGGATCTCAAATATGATAATTTAAAAAATTCGAACAAAATATATTAAGTATAAAGAATTTTCATGAAATTAGTTCTCTATAAGTTTTTAACGATTTCATACACCTGTTAAAAAGGGAAGCTATTGCGTAAAAGATCATAACTGTTAGCTGTTTTTATTTTCTCCTCTAATCAATAGCATGCATATAATTCTTGCATATTATCTAAATGTATCTACTAATACGGTACTCCCAACATATGTATTCCAAATATTTTATAACTTTTTAAATCATTTATGGTTTAAACCAAATAGTTATGGCCCATTTTAAATTTAAATATAATTGCGCATTTAAACTTTGATCCACTGATTATCAAATTTCATTTTTTTTCAGTTTTACGAGTTTGTACAAGTAATCCTGTAATAGTGTTTTGAAAAATTAATTATTTAATTATCTTTAATATTGCTAAAGAGTTATATGTAATTTAATATTATAATTGTCAAATACATTTCTTACAATCCAAAAAGCGATTGCCTCATGACCTTCTATTAATAAGTTGTTTAATTGAGATTAAATGGATGTCAAGACTCCTCTTATCAGTTAAGTCAACAATTCATCCAATTATTAAACTAAATAAGCTAAGAGTTATACATAAATTAAATAATTATTATCCAGTCCATTTCTACTCCATAATATGTACCATGTAAAAGTTTCCACAGTGAATAATTATGAACGCTACTATTTATTTAATTAGATGCATTTATTTTATATCCACAACTTTAATGCATTCTCCTCCCTGCAGGTTGGCTTAATACGTCTTATAACACTTTTACAGAGACCATTGGTAATTAATGTTTTTCTCTTTACTGAAAACTCTTTCAACCACACCAAAATTCTTCAGGTCACAAAATCTAAAGTCGCATGCATTTACTTACAATAGAATCAGTCAGTGAATTATAAGGGGCATAGTAATGGCTTAAATAAGTTTCATCCGGCTGCAACACCAGCCAACCAGCTGAATTCATCAAATTTATAAATTGATTTCAATAAGCGCCTGGTCTTTGCACCTTCACGATATAATAACAACTGGTCAAATGATAAAAAGTTTTGTTATTCTTTGTCGTCTTTCTGCGCTCAATTGCCTTTATACTGTTCGTTAAATCACTCACAGCATGATTGGAATCGTCCTCCACTTAAGGAATATTCTCAACTCTTCAAACTTCTCTAAATCTGTAGGTACAGAACCGGTTCGGCTGTCTCCAGGATGGGAAGGGACAGGCAGACCAGAGGATGAATTGAACTTTAAGGGAGTTACAATGGACCAAGCCGATCTCGAAATAAATCCACCGAACGATAGGTAAAATAGTTTAATAATTGCTACATTTATTTTCCATTAATCAATTTAATAATTTACCATTGTATCCCTCATTTTAGGCTGAATATAGTATTCTTAATACTATTACTTCATGGTATAGGGTCATTGATGCCATGGAATATGTTCATTACAGCCAAGGATGTAAGCTACATTTTCATTTCCTAGAATACTCTATTTAGATCAGATTCAATCATAAAATTTATAACAGATCAAGTTTCAAAGAATTTTGTTGGTTAATCTTTTTTTTTTTAATTTTTCATTTCGGAACTTCTTGTTCCTAATAGAAATAATGGTTGAATCTGAACATAGGATATATTTTTCACCCATCTTTTTTGATTTTTGCGCAGTACTTTGTCGACTACAAGATGTCCAAGAATTACACAAGCATTGATCCGTTCTACACTACAAATTTTCTTCCGATCTTAGGATTCGCTGCACAAATTCCGAATTTACTTTTCAATTGGTTGAATATATTCATCCAGCTAGGGTTCGTAGCTATTTGAATACTTCACGTTACTAGTTTTTAGCGATTAATCTAGTACACTTTGTGTATGCTTAACCATGAAAACAAGATTGACTGTTAACTCCAATTCAGAGCGTAGAAAATAGGTTTGACTATTGATTTTTTTTGAAGAGTTGTCAGAAAAGAAATGTATGACATACAACAACGATGCTAAGCATTTGTTGAAGCTAATAACAAAATTAAATAAATATCTCATACTGTTTCTCACATACACTTTTCACACTTTTAGCGGCAATCTAACGACGCGCATAGTATGGGGCATCTTTGTAGAAGTTTTAATATTTGTGTTTACTATTGTACTGGCAATGATCGACACGTCTGCTTGGTCAGACATATTTTTTTGGATAACAATGATCTCCGTCGTAATGCTAAACAGTAAGTTATTGGTACCCTCATTAGTCAGGCGCATATTAATTACAATGAAAAATTGAAAAATGTTAATTCTTTCAGCTGCCAGTGGTATATATCAGAATTCTATATTTGGAATGGCAGCTAAGTTACCATTCAAGTATACTGGAGCTGTGGTTCTGGGCTCGGTAATTTCTAAACTCAACTTTCCTCGATACAAGAAACATACAGAGAGAAAATAACTTTTTGTCATTCATTGTCACTCTATTCTCTTGCAGAACATTAGCGGAACTTTCACAGCCATTATAAACTTGATCGCACAAATAATGGCTCCGAATGTACGTACTGCCGCAATCTACTATTTTATAACCGCACTCTTTGTTCTACTGGCGTGCTTCGATACGTACTTTGCTCTTCCGATAAATGTGAGTTATCGATCTCAGAATTTGTCAAGAGATTTATTGTCTCTTATCGAATTAACAGTTATATCTTGTATCACCTGTCGCAGAGATTTTATCGTTACCACGAGTTGCTCCATAAAAAGGAATCTAAGAGGAGGCAGTTGGAACATGGATCCAGGGGCGTTAAAGAAAATGTACCTTACTGGACCATATTTAGACAATGCTTACCGCAGTGCTTTAATATCTTCTTTCTCTTCTTCGTCACCCTCAGTATCTTTCCCTCTGTTCACTCCGACATAAGACGCTCGGATCCAAATTTCATTATCCCAGCCGACTATTACAGCAACGTCATGTGTTTCTTGACGTTTAATATTACCGCCATGATAGGCAGTTCCATCGCGTCGATGGTACAATGGGTAAAACACTTTATGTTGCAATAATCATGAGCCGAAGTAATGCTAAGCGTTAATCATTTGTTCATTGTTTTTATAGCCCAGCAAGAACTACTTGGTCTTTCCAATTATATTGCGTGCTCTTTATATACCGCTGTTTCTACTATGCAACTATCAGCCAAAGGATATACAGAGGGTACTTCCGGTATTGATAAACAATGACTGGTTGTATTTGATAATCGCTATCACGATGGGACTAACAAGCGGTTACTTCTCCTCTATTGCTATGATGTACTGTCCAAGGTATGTAATATGTCTTTAACATGCTTTTAATAGCATTTGAAACAAGCACTGTGACGATGATGATGATGATAACGATGATAATGATCTATTGCAGAATGGTCGAATCGCATCATGCAGCTACTGCCGGTATGTTTGGAGCGGCGTCTTTAATCACCGGAATCTTTACAGGGATTTTATTCTCTATGGTTATGCCTTATGTCATTTCTCTACACGTTTAAATCTTTATTTCAAGTTATTTGTCCACAAAGAAAATTTTCAAATGGTTCAAAAAAAGTTAATACTCCCGGCAACAACAGTCAACAGTAGCCAGCAGACATTTTATTTTACTTTTTTAAATGATTAAAAGGACTAAGTTACTTTGATACTTTATATACAATTGTTATAAACAGCTTTTCAGGAAACTTGATTAGGGTCTCGATAGACTTTTTTTGTCGGGAAATTCAATTTATTGTTTTGCGCTGTTAGGTACATTTTAATAATACTCAGAAAAGATATGTTAAACAGTACCCAGCGATAATTTGACTTGATTATGACGTAATGGCGCTGCACCGATAGCGTACAGATTTTAGGAAATAGTATGTTTAAAGTTCATTGATAATACTGAAGCACAAAACTGGTAAAGTACTATCGCTGTCTTGTTATCAGTCGATGGAAATGCCTTCGAAGGCAAGTCACTGGTTCGGCCACGTTAATGAAAACGGACCAAAACGCCTTAAAAGTTAAGACCCAGCGGTATTCGCCGAATGGTCGCTTACAGGAAAACGGAACAAAGCCGCTTGTTATGCACATAACTAATCTGTAAATTTAGGTGATAGGCGTTACTTACTTAGTACAAGCTCGAAAGAGAGACAGGGGATGAGAAAAGAATGAAAGAAAGAAGATAAAATTAAAACAGATAACACAGGAAAATAGTCTCATCCGGAAACATGAAACTACGAGTGGACTTTTTTCTTCTGCATGGGTTCATTTTCTTTTTGAGCATGTCATTACAGTCGAAATACATGAATACAATTTATGAGATTATACCTCTGTTTTCGTTTTCTATACTAATTTCTATCTTTATTGTAACTTAAATGTCTATTATTTTTTGTTCTTACTCTTCAAGTATATATTAATCGATACTAGTGGAACGCACGTGCTGCAGTCTGTAACGTAGTACGCGTTATAGATATCGTGTTTCTTACTTTCACATACTCACATTTACGCATTTTTATGGTTTGTTCCTATGCGTTGTTTTCCTTTTTATTTCATTTTTTTTTTTCACGAATTACTTGCAATGCAAATGTTGAGATTTATTTAATTTAGACTACATTAGGTGCGTTGTTTCGTTTCTTTGAGTAGTTTTTAGTAATCGCTTTGTTTCAAAGCTTCTTGATTTTAAGACTTTTAACTTGCGATTCACATTACGAGAAATATTTCCACAGATCTCTTGAAAAGGCTCACCTGTTTCAGAATCCGTGTCGCCAATCGTATTTGTAATTTTGTAATATATAACAGCGAGTGTATTTGGGAAAATTCATTCGACGCACCGAAACTCATGAAAATAGAAATCTATGGTTACTTGTAATAATTTTTACTTCGAAACATTAATTAGCATTTTTTTAATTACATAGTTTTTACTAGATATCGATAAACCATGTACTTGCGAGTTTGTGGGCGTGTGTGTGTGTGTGCGCGCGCGCGTGGAATGCATCATAAATTGATATCCATAATTACATCTTCCATTCATCAAAAGACTTATTATATCCGACTATATAATCTTTGATAATCTGCACTATGCAAGATTCGATTTTTACCGTATTTTATGATCTAATCTTGCGTATGACATTTAATACATCTATTGAAAAGTTAAAATAACACGTTATTATATTGCCTAATTTATTGTTTTTCATATTCCATTGTCTTATGGAATTAATTGATTCAGCTATATACTTGGAATTGATAAGAGAACTGTTGACACATTTCTCTTTGCCCTTTAGTCTGGCTGTTGTAAGATTTTCCAAATCTAATGCATAGATTCCGTATTCCTAATAGGACAATCCTCCGCAAAAAGCAATGCAGACAATAAAACAAATTGACTCGATACAGTAACTGAAGGAATCATTGAATTTAAAAACTGATGTGTCGTAGACGGGGTATTTTTATATTAAAATCCAATACTGGGGATGTTCCATTCAGAATTGTTTAATGCATATCAAGTCGATTAGATTAAGCATTTTTCATTAAAAATCCATTAATCATCCAATGAGATATTCTTCGGGATACCGATCGCGCGAACAGCGAATTAATTTTTGAAATTTCAAAGTGTCTTTAGAACCGTCGCGCCATCGGTATCACCATGGATGGCAAATGTTCATAATATAAAATAAATCAACACATTGTAATATATTTAAGAGATTCCAAGTCATGGGTATACTGTAGTACGCAGAATTATACCAACGTTTTAATGCTAACGTTATTAGTAGTAGAACGAAAATGTTAAATAAACGAACCTAGAAAAAAAAAAGCAAATTTCGTTCCATTTATTTTATCTCAGCATGATTAATTAAGTCGGAAATCAAATTCTGAACAAGGTGATGCATTTCATTGAAAATAGATTTTATTTTTACGATTAATATGGATATACAGTAATAAACAATAAGGTACTAAATAATTAGACGTATTCCGTTGAAAGAGATAGGTATAGAGAGAAAGATCAATACATATATATTTTACAAATCTTCTTTCCAATATGTGCGTATCTTACATGACGAAAACTTTTTCGATTTTCTTGTATGGAAATACTTCTTTGGTTTTTGGGCAAGTCACGCTGCCGTTGTTTTCTTGAGCCATTTTTTCCAGGGCCTGAAATATGTATTCGGTAAACGAAATTGTACCTTGTCAGTTATTGTAAGATGGTGAGAAAAAAGACATAAGGCTTACACGCTCCCCATAAACGTAGCCATTGGGCATCATCATAGGCTGATTGTGCTCATTCAACGGCTTGCCACTAATAGTACAAACGAGTCTCGATTGCGAACAATGAGCAAAAGGTAGTGAAGCAGCTAATTCATTAAGAGCTTCGTTACAGACGGGACAGCTTGGGTTTCGTCCCTCTCGATTAGCGCTGTAGCACTGCGGAGTCTTTAGAGCTGATAAGCCAGCCTGCAATGCTACAGTAAAAACACTCTGACTAGCCAATTGGAAAAGTCTGTAATTCTCATGACGGAACTGCTCAATCAATCTGTCCCACCTATACGTGATAGAAGAAAGAAGAAGGTTTATAAAATTAAAATATTTAGGAAGTCGAATATGTTTAAAATTTTACCTCTTCTCATCAAGTAAGTGTTTATATGGGCTGAGATAAGTGTTTGCTGGGAATGCTAATTGACCCATGCAGCATTGGATTTCCTGCAGCTGATAGTCGTCATAGTTGGCAAAACATTTTCTGGCATGCTTTACAGCATCGAGTCTACGATCAGCTCTAACTAGTTCAATAAATTCCTGTACTCGCAAATTGAACTCCATAGTGCTACCCAACTTGCGTAGCTTAGAACGATTGTCATGACACCAGCCTAAACATCTTGCAGTCTCATGATTTGCCAGAGATTTTTCTACCTCTCTTGAGACCATGAATACGTCTATGTTTGTCAAGTCACACAATTCACCACTGTCTGCCAGCTTCATGGCTGTTTTATAATATCCTTTACGAAGGAAATATTCAACCAGCATTCGATCCAATCTTTGTCTACGCCATTGATTAACAGCACTTGGTGCAGTATTAGCATGTTCCTTAAGATGATCCAATCGTCTTTTGCAAACCATTCCAGCCTGCAGTTCTTCTGCAATTGATTCTTCTGCTTTGCGTTTAAGAACTTGAAGCCTGGCGACAACACCACCCAACAATCGAGTGATTTCCCCAGTGGCAACATTAGTTCCATCAGTTTTTAGACCTTTCTCTAATTCATTGGTAGCAGCTTGAACATGGGATACTTCTCGATCCAAAGTCTTTTGTGCTGATCGAAATTTCTTATTCAGGAGCTCATATGGCACCTGTACAAAAAATTAGAATCTTCTTTGTTTCTCCTAATAATAGACATACCTATAATTTGATTTGTAACAACATCGCACAAGAATTTTAATACTACGTGTTTTATAAATCCAACAATTACACAATAGCCTAAGACCTTGACAATTGACGTTTACCCCTAATAGGATGAGATAAAATAAAAAGTAATTGCGTTTTAAGGAAAATAAAATTTGCATAAAATATAAGAGCTAGAATCAAATTACAGTAAATTATTTATTTTTCATTCTCATGGACAAAGAGTGCGAGTGTTTCGTCATACACAAAAAGCTATTCCTGTTTACCTTTAAAGTTGGATGCTCCAGACTTTTTACGTCCGACATATTCAACGTCTTGCAACAACTGACAGATATTCAAGAAAATTAAACTAGAACTCCTCAAATTTTCTTCAGAAGATTTCACTGCGCGACAACTACAATCAACTTCTACCCATCTCCCTCCAGCTGACTTCTGAACTTGTAAACAGACGGTGACAGAAAGTAAACGAGTCAGGCAGCAGGGATTTATGTATAATCGCTAAACTGAGACAGAAATGTAAGATGCGATTCCATGAGTAATCTTATAAACTAGTGCCACCTGGTTTCACGTTACTTAAAATTGGACAATAAAATAACGCAACGCGTAGTGCTGCCAACACTTTACACAATACGAAAATGTCTTGACAGGAAATACCCGATAATGAACAACATATAATTAAATTGTAATAATAAGTAAAAATATACATATACCACTATTTCATAAGTGCAAAGAACATTGTAAAATCAAGTCATAAAATAAATGTCATGCAATCTAACGATTTAACAAGATTTTTTAGACTATTGTATTATAATAATTATATTTACTTCTAATAGTCATCAAATCATCAATTGATAAAACAGTAGTCATATCCAAGTAATGATTGTTCATAAAAACCATATAAAATTTAAAGCGTTCTCGAAATATAAACTTAAAAGATCCCGCGAAAAGCTAAAAGATTCGAGAAACAGGTTTTTCGACAAAGGTGGTTGCACATTCAGATTAGCTGACAGAAATGCGATGAGAATCTCTTTGGATTCGGACAGGCTACTCGGATCTTTTCGGTATATCTCGGTAGAATTCGGCTGGTTACGGAAAGAATCGGAGGAGCGCGCGAGTCACTCGGGTGGCCGGGGGCCGCCATTTTCCTCCAGTGAGGGAGAGAGTCGCGAGCGTACTCCTAGGATCGCGGAGCGGTTTTTCGTCGGATCGAGGGATTTTCGCGAGCGCCGGGCGTCGGGCGGGCGCGCTGGACCCCAGGGCCCACTGATAAGTAACGAACTGTCCCACGGGAGACCCACAAGTCACCCGTGGACACGCTAAAAGACGAGCCGATCCAAGTCGAGTCGCGCGCCGTAGCCAAAGAGACACACACGCTTCGAGAACGCCGAGTGAGTGATTGTGATTTAGCAGTGTCCGCCAGTTAAAATACGCGAAGCCTAAGGACCAGTGGAAACCAGGAAGTTAGTTCCCGACAGGTTAGTCCTGATGATTTTATACGAGCCCGGCTTTTTTAGAACGTGGACGCCGAATCCCCCGGTTTATGCCGTGTGCGTCGCTGCCGCGGCCGCCGGTCTCTGCGCGGTGCATGCGTGTACACACGCAACCGGAGTAAATTCCGCGCGCCTCCGTCTATATGTATACTTCCAATGTTCTCTGCGATCAACGTGTGTCCTGTCTGTCGCAGCTCTCACAACTCGCGTACTTGTATCCCTCTACTCTCTGAGAGATCATAAGAGAGAAGTTGCGTGCTGTATAGACTCTGGTTTGATATGGCGGGAGACGACGCCGTCGCTGCCACCACCTCCGTAGCTGCTGCTCCTGCTCCTACTCCTACTGCCGCGTTATCCGAGCTGGCCACGCGCATTTCTTTTATTCGCCGACGTGCCCGGCTCCCACTCTTAGCCTTTTTCTCAATTACCAAGTTTATAACACGCTCTCACGATACTCCTAGAAACATCGCTATTCTGTTTCGCATACCGGGTTTATTAATTGTCACGCTCTCCTGGAGGTAAACATACTCTGCGCTTGCCAATTTTCAATGGCGTACCCAGAATGATTTGCTGACCTTCGATAATATCAGTAGCTTTTAAAATGGAACGAGTAGAAAGACGTTTGAGAGGATTCCAAGATGTTACTATACGTTACGCGATTCACGGTAATCCTTTAACTTTTACATAACTGCAACCTCACATCTTGTGCCAATATCCTTGATCTTGATTCTATTTCCTTGAATACTTTAATATGTTTTAAGAAGCAATGAATGATTTCTATTCTTTCGCCATAAATCATTTTAAAGACAGAGTCTCGCGTCGTTCATCAAAGCTCTATCCTCTTGAAATACGAATAAAAGAAAATTGAAACGAGAGGAAGTATGGAGAATGCCTCCCTGCTACACGTCACCAGTCCCATAGCTAGTAAAATGGAGATCATAATTAACGATGCCTTAGAGTAAAAAGTAACCAATGAACGAGTTACCGCACGAGTGCAAAATATGTAGATAGCAAGTGTTAGATGGCAGCACACTAGCCAGCCCACCTCAACCTCGAGTTAATATAAACTTGGGCAGAAGCTTAATTGGCAGTTCCATCGTGCTCTCGAAACTTTTCAGAGTAAATGCCATGTTTTCGGTGACGAGTCATATCAACGAAGATCTAACATCGTGATTTCATTGACGTAGACTTAAATACAGAGGACGATACCTTGGATTTAGTCTAACTCGCGTGACTGTAATGAATACGGTTGTAAATCATTTATTGCTTCAAGTGTACGCGGTATATAGACGACGGCCATTTGGACAGACGCTTCTAGAATACCATTCATTCGGATCTCTTCCTCATTCGGTCGGACGTCTAACGCCTTAACGTAGAGTTGTTCCTCTTTTACGCGGCTCTGTATTACCGCAACATATTCCATTCGACAGTTATAGATCCTTAATACAAGTTGTTAAGAAGCACTCCCGCGTCTCTCGTATTTCGCTATATACAATATTACACACAGGCACATGCTTTATACTCCATTCAGTCGCCCCTCACCTTCACACGCTGGCATCGTTTTTTTTTTTATTTTCGCATCGCCATAAGAGTATACCAAGTCGTAAAAGTCCGAGTGCGTTTTAGGAACACATGAATTCTTCGCCGAAAACTTACATATATATAAGACTTATGGAAGGAGTCACGTTATACCAATTCCTCAAAGCCGGCCTACATTATTGAAGCTACATATATCCATTGCCAACCGTGTGTATCGGTTTTTACCCTAGGGGCGTTCTGACTTGCGGCTTGTCTTATCCGCACGACCGAAATGTATATACATATATATCGCCGCTGCCTGGCCATGGAGAAATCGAATAAAATCGGCACTCCGTGGCACGATCACTTCGTGGCTCGTGCGCCGTAGCCTTACTTTCCTTGCTTTTTCTCGTCATGGTAAACGATGCGTTCATTGCTCTCCGTGCCGTGACAAAGGACGCTCGCGAAAAACCTGCCACTCGTTCGTACCGACCGTGATGGGTCTTACGCGAAGTTTCGAAAATTTCATTACGTTCACTCGCAACCATATACAATATCTGTCCCTTAAGATCGCTCTCTCGATATTGAGAATTTTCTTTGACGCAGAGATGCTGGGTACGCGTGGTGGGGGTAACTGCGTCTGTTTGGCTCAGCGCACGTTTCCTCGCGTTGGTATTTAAACGAGCTCTCGTTGTGGCCTTACGTAATTTGCTGAACACAGAGAGTCGGCTGCTTATTCAGCGATGTGCTGACCCGTATTCATACGGCGGCGACACTTCCATTCCTCTTTTACTATGGAAACCGATATTGTATTTACGTATGTAGTCTGTTTAGCGAGCTTTAAATATACTTTGAACGGTTTCCTATATGCGCATCCAGTAAAAGGTTAATGCCTCGCCCCTGGTTCCCCTTTCCCAGCCACCATCGGAGATACAATCGACTGATGGATAACCTTTGGAATTGAGCGTGTCTCGATATTTTGTAAACAGATTTTCAAAATTATTCAATTCCCCACGACTGCGAGTCTTCCGTGCATACTCATCTAGCTCTATAGTTAGCGACAGGTGCTCTCGGCGGTTATTGTGAATCATGCGCGAAGCGTAACAATGTTTTGCAATCGGATTGGATACACGTTAAACCGATATCCCGTTTCAGGATCCGCCATGACACTTTTATCGGTCGATCCGGATATATATTATGTCATGCGTACAGTAAATGTAAGTGATCGCCAAGAATGATACATGAATTCCGATGCTCCGTTTTATAATTGTTCCTCCTTTCTCGTGTCAATGTCAATTTGAAGAAGCGATTCGGCCACGTATCAAGGACTCCGTAGTGGCCGAAGCGCGATAATCGGTACGCAAGGAAAATGAAAAGGCAGCCAAGTGCAACGTGTTACAGGTTAGAGAACGAAGGAGCTTGGAGCTGCGCCAGTATTTTTGTTTCGCGAGAGAACACGAAAAGTAGTAACCCCTCTCTATTTCCCACGTCATCCCATACACGTGAGCTACCTCGAGCATACAGATATCTTCGACTCCTGTGCAAATCCATAGCGCTATCCCAAGTTTTCATGGACGCTCCACAACTTTTGGCAACGGTCCGGGACCGCGACTTGGACAAGTCACTACTTGAAATAGTTCTCTTAAAAGAACAGGAGGCACTAATGAGATCGGGCAATTGACTGTCCTATGCGTGTATATATATGTATATGTGTTTCACTTCCGCCTGACGTGGAAGTCTACATAATACCAGCAACCATACTTAAAAGATCGCTCCTAAAAGAGACAGGTTTGCTGTTGTGAAAAAAAAAGAGTTGCTTTATCGATCCTCTGCCATGTTGCTTTTCGTTTTTCGGTCAATCTTTCGTCCGACCCACAGAAAGAGATTTGCAAATACCAAAGTGATTGGGTCGCTCGAGCGTCCCTCGCTCGCAATGGGAACCGGTTGACTTTGTTGAAACGCCCTGTATAAATTTTAGTGTAACGGCCTATGTGCCACGGGTAGAGAGAGAGACTTCGAAGTTGTAACAGGTGCCCCCACCCTTTTGTGTTGCCGTTCCCCTACTCGATGCGAGCTCTCCTCGTCTTCTTGTATATCTTATAACATACGCTATCCCTTCCTTTGGCGCTACTTAGCTTCTTTTATGTAAGGCTAGCGAACTGACCTGACTCAAGGAGCTGCCGTTGCAACGCTACCATTTTTTTTTTATTACGTCACGAATCAGAAATTTACTGCTCCCTTTTAATCTCTGGTAATCTTGTTGGTCCTACTCTCTCTCTCTCTCTCTCTCTCTCTCTCTCTCTCTCTCTCTCTCCCCCCCTCGTTTCTGTTTTTTTATTATTCTATCTTACAAGTATATACCATACGGAGTTAGAGAGGTCGGTCAAACTCGACCCCAACTTGTCGTTTAAACGAGCACTCCTCCACCCTGTGCTCAAGAGCCAGAGAAAGTGAGTAGTGAGTTTAACGACGTCAAAGGGGACTTTGAGATTCATCCTTGTATACGTTCCGACTCCATTCCGAATATCGACCAAATTACCCTCTCCTTGGACAAGCGCTCGTAAAAGAATCCCCGGCGTTTAAAATCTATCGATAAGCGCTTCTCGGGATATATTATCGTCACGAGAACTCCATAGAAAGAAAGGAAGAGAGAGAGAGAGAGAGAGAGAGAGAGAGAGAGAGAGAGAGAGAGAGAGAGAGAGAGAGAGTAATATGAAGAGCGAGAGATAGGGGGGAGGATGCCACCGTATAAGTTTCTTGAAACGAGGACCAAAGTCAGAGGGTGACTTCGTTAAGGGAGACATCATCGTCAGCCCACGGTACGCCAAGCGAGCCTGATTTACCAAGCTGGAATGTGTACGATATAGTATATCTGTATATATACGAATCTATAGCACGTAAGTACGTAGCTGAAATAACGGGTGAGAAAATTGCACGAGTACATAATCGTAACGGCAATCATCGTCGAGACTCGGTAGCGAGCGGTTATATCAGAGAGAATTTTTTCCTGACATCTACATCATAAGTAGGTTGGGTAACAAAAGAGGACCGGTGAAACTTTTCCATAACGCGAGGAGTTTCCTTCTCCTCATGCACGCCTGAACATCGTTCTCATAGTCGTCCGAAGGTTAAGTACGAGCCACGTATAATGGGGGTAGCGCATCGCCATTGTAAACAGACACGAGCAGTAAGCAGCTCCAGGGTTTAGTTCGGGGTACAGAAGCAGGGGCGGATTGTCGAGGGAGTTTAGGCGAGAGGCGGTGGGAAGCTGTCGAGGGTGGGAAGTTGCCGAGACATCGATCGGGCCGGCCATTGCTTGCCACACTCCACTACTAGGAGTCAAGATGCCATCCTACCGAGGAACTAAACTCCATGAAACTACTACTCCACCTCCCTCTCCTCGTTCTCCTGCCGCTACGCACCGCGGGTTAACCTGTGTCTGCATGCGCCCCTGTAACGGCGGTCTATGCTCACTTCTCTTTGTATTAGAACACACGCTTGATATACGCTTGATATACTGCAAGCGTATATGCAGATATACACCATCTAGTTGCCAGGATATATGTATACATATATATCACTCACGTTTATGTACGCTCAAGTTGCTTCGTATATGCTACTCCGTGATGCCGTCGTGTCGACGGACTACTAACGTGCTTTCTGAACCCTGCCGAAACCTGGCGTATCTCAAAGGAACTTTGACGCATGTAAAACTTCTCTCTGCAATGACCAGGAAAGAAAATATAAAGAGATATCATGGGTAAGCGCGTATACTTGGCTTCTGCCGGTATGACAGACTTCGCTTTAACCACCTGGGCCATCTTTTCTCTACCTGTCTACACTCGCTGTCCCTTCGTGGCTGTGGGGTATCCGTGATTTTCTCCCTCTCTCTCTGCTGTTGTACCGCATCTCTCTCTATCTCACGATCGGGTTTTCCGGTGTAACAGTATATATGGCTCGAACCAATCGTTACTTCGTGAAATAGTCGTATTCGAGTGTGGCGTGCTGTTTTGTTAGTTTCATGACATGGGAGCGGTGTCCAAGGCCGCGCTCGTTACGTTTGGTAGATTTAGAAGCTTCACTGTTCACTAATCTCTTTCTAGAAAAGAAGACACGGCCTGTTAATGCGATTGATAGTACAGCCGCGTTAGGCATAGGTATAACTGGGTAATTTGTAATAATGACCAGTACCTTTCTGAGATTGAATACCCCGAAGTGTATGAGACACGCACATGCAGTATTGGCCGTTATTCAAGGACGCTTCTTTGAACTTCCAAACAAATTCGAGAGTCCACGTATGCAATATGGCACCGGTAAATTTCACCAGTGGCTATTAACGAATCGTCGGCCTCTGCAGGGATCTCAACTGCCCCAGGGGCCTTTGCGAACGTCTTTATTTTTTTAATATTTTTATTTTAAATTCCCTCGGTACATTTCTCGTAATTACTGCGACCGGTTTCTTTTGGGGACTCGCGGCGAGTAAACGGTACTTGGGGCGTCCCTGAGTTTCGTGAAACTTTGTCTCCAGCCATCCGTTCGATTCGTTAAATTATCATCGAGTTTCCGGTAGTATCTTCATTTAATTCTTCGACTAATTCAAATTGCTTTCTTTTTCGGCGACACGTCACGCCTTGAATTAATTACTCGATGCTGGCGATCGCCATACGGATATTACGTATGCTGGTTCAGTTGAATTGATAAACGGTTACTCGTGTACGAATGTCGGTTGTGAAATGTCCTTATGAATTATTAATTATTCGTATAATCAAAATACTCGCGTCTTGTATATAAGCAATTCCCAAAGCGTATACTAGCCGTTCGAGAAAGATGTAGGACCGAGGCCTGCAGAAAGCGCGCGCGAGCTCCCTTGTACAAGTGTGTAAGTAAAGAGTGTGAGGGGGGGGCAAGAGAGAAGCAAAGTTTCGCTTTAGGAGCGGAGAACTTAACTGAGTTAACTTTGCTGCCGAATCAAACTTTCCGCCAACTTTAAGTAGTCGCTTCCCTGCCCCATCGCCGTGCTCGGCTGGTCTGTTGTCCGTTGGAGCGACGGAGAGAGACTGAGCGTCGGAGGCTACGAAGCCCCGCACCCTTATACAGATTCACCTAAGGTGGAGAGGCAGTGTCTAGAGGCAAAGGGACTTAACTTCAATTTCTACCGTGCTCATTGCTTTGGATTTTAATGGTACCTGGTATGTTTCCACTAACGATGGAATGACGTGCTCGAAACGAAGAGTTTGAAAATTGCGAAAATTTCGAGAGCTTATTTGGACCCTCGACCTTCTTCATCCGGCGTAGGTTACTTGGATCATTTTTCTTTTCCTCGCTGTTCTCACGTAATTATCGATTTTGAGGAGAGTCTCTGTTTTTATTCGTTTTCTTCTGTCATTCTTAATGTGATTTCTTATATCAACTCCGTGGTCTTGCCTTACATGAAGGAAAGTCGTGAAAAGACGCTCGTCGGTTTCGACGGGCCCGACGGGCTTGTTCCTCGATCGGCCGATCGGTAAACTCGCGGATAACTGTTCTCTGGATAATGGCTGAACTTAGAATTGCTAATGAGCGGTGTGTCGGTTGACTAACGAGAGTGAGAGACCGAAAGAGTCCTGAGTGTAAGCCAGAAATAAAAGGCCGCAGCTCGTGGAACCTGGGTCGTCCCCCCTTCGTAAAGTTACAAAGAGTGGAGTTACCGCCTTACCACTCTTGTCCAGTCCCAAGTGTTTCAGCAAGACGGTTCTCAACTTCGTACGGACGAAGTACACTTCACAAACTTCTCCCTACTGCCCGCGTTGCCTCGTACATGCACGCTCGCTTGTATATTATATGTTGTGGGAAACTTTGAAAAGCTTAGCTGCCATCACGCTTTCGGATAAAATCATAATGCCGCTACTGACCAGTTTGTATATTATCAGTTGCGGCTGCCCTTAATGACTCATTTGTACTCGGTTGTCAGGCAATGGGGATTTCATTATTTTCTCGAGGCATTTGCGCAATCGTAAAAGACTTATTAACTAACCACGTTTTCATTCGCTCGTGCACCGCGCATTAGTGGATGCCGGGACACTTCATTGCGCGGATATTATTTATAGATCGACTATAAACGCAAAACGTTACATAGACATTCCTCAGGATGGGAGCTCAGTTTTGGAAGGACTCCCACGACGTCTGGGATTCCCCGTTTCCCTTGGGGATGCTTCATAAACCACTGGCCATTTCCTATCGACTCGTCGCAAAGGAGATTTACTTTTTTCTACATTGTTTCTCTGCCAAAATTCATATCAAGAGACGTTACTTTTATCCTTGCAAGATTTTGCATCTCTTTTACTGGGGTTTTTTTTCCTATCAATTCTCTTCCCTTCAGTATCATTTGAATTTCACATGTCACCCGTAAAAACCGGACCACCTCTGCGCCAAGTTCTGAAACAAAGTTTACTTTATCATAGCTCGATTCTAGAGGGTTTGAGGTGGACGCCGACGGGGAAGGTGAGCGAGCCAAACCCCCGCAGCCGCCCCCCCCCCCCCCCACCCC